GAGCCCCAGCCCTGCGGGGGCTGTGGGACCCCGGCCCCCCCGCGCCCCTTTGCCTGCGCCCAGTGTGGGAAGGGCTTCGGGAAGAAGGCGCACCTGACCCGGCACCTGCGGGTACACACGGGCGAGCGGCCCTTCCCCTGCAGCCAGTGCGGCCGCTGCTTCCGCCAGAAGATCCACCTGCGGTCCCACCAGAAGACGCACACGGGCGAGCGGCCCTTCCCCTGCCCCGAGTGCGGCCGCCGCTTCCGCAAGAAAACCCACCTGGTACGGCACCAGCGTACCCACACCGGCGAGCGGCCCTTCCCCTGCGCCCGCTGCGGTCGCTGCTTCGCCCACAAGCAGCATCTCCTCCGGCACCAGCAACTGCACGCCGAGCCGGCGCCGGGGGACGGGGACGGGGGGGTCCCCGCCGAGCAGAAGCCCTTCCCCTGCCCCGAGTGCGGGAAGAGCTTCAGCTGGAAGAAGAACCTGGCGTCCCACCGCCGGCTGCACCGGGAGGGACGGCCCTTCGCCTGCGCCGAGTGCGGCCGCGGCTTCAGCGACAAGCGGCACCTGATGGCGCATCTGCGGGGGCACATGGGGCTGAAGCCCTACGCCTGCCCCCACTGCGAGAAGACCTTCAGCCACAAGCCCAACCTGACCACGCATCAGCGCACCCACACCGGTGAGCGGCCCTTTGCCTGCCCCCACTGCGCCCGCGGCTTCGCCCACAACCAGCACCTCCTGCGGCACCTGCGGGTGCACACCGGCGAGCGCCCCTTCGCCTGCCCCCAGTGCGGCCGCTGCTTCAGCTCCCGGCCCAACCTCATCGCCCACGCCAAGGCGCACGCCGGCGCCCGGCCCTTCGTCTGCGAGCAGTGCGGCCGGGGCTTCAGCCGAAAGTCCCACCTGGCCCGGCACCAGGCGGTGCACACCGGCACCCGGCCCCACGCCTGTGCCCAGTGCAGCAAGCGCTTCAGCTCCAAGACCAACCTGGCGCGGCACCAGGCGGTGCACACCGGCCACCGGCCCTACATCTGCACCCAGTGCGGCAAGAGCTTCAGCCGCAAAACACATCTGCTGCGCCACGAGCGCACCCACGCCACTGCCGGCACTGCCACCGCCGCGCCCCGGCAGAGCTGGCCGGCCCCTGCTGCCCCGGCCCCTGCTGCCCTCTGCCCCTGAGCGCCGGGGGCTGAGCGCCGGGATGTGCCCGTGTCCTCGGCACCCTTCCCCCGGGCCGGGGACCCTCCCTCGGGGCTCGCTGCTGGCTCCTGCCTGCGGACACCAGCCCTGCCCGCAGCCACTCGGCCAGGCAGGGTCCTCCTGCTGCCGGTCAGCTCCAGCGCCGTTCTCCCGCGGCACATGGCACGGAGAGTGGCTTCCAGGGGTGCGGGAGGCAACGCAGCCAGTGGAAAAACCTCGGCTCTGAAATGGTCTTAAAAACCTCGGAGCGAGGGCTGGCCCGTGCCAAGCTCTGTGCTGGGGCTGCTGTGGGAGGTGTCGGGGGTTCTGGGGGAGCCCCATCCCATCCCCAGGAGAGGGGGGGTCTCTGCGCCGTGGTGCTAGTCGTCGGGGCTGCGCGCAGGGTGCTGCAGGGCAGAGGGGCACCGACCCACCCGGGGGGGGCTCCGCCGCGGTCAGAACAAACCAAAACTGCCAATAAACTGACTTTTGTTCAATTTTCCCGGGGGTGTCTCGGGGCTGAGCGGGAGCCGTTGGGGCGAGAAGGGCTGGGCGGGCTGGCAGAACCGCGGTGCCACCGGGCCCAGGCCGACGCCGGGAAGCTGCTCGGGGACGTGCTCGGCCGCTGGCTGTACTGCGAAGCAGCCGGTGCCCGTACCGGGCTCCTGCGGCGCTGCCGGCCGGGGGGAGCCCCTCACCGGGGCCGTGGGTCCCTGCCCCACCGTGTGCCGGAGCCCGGGCGGCGGCAGCGGCCCCCCCAGGGGCGTCTCCGACCGTTGCGGAATACCGGAGGGGCAGCGGGGTCGTGGCGTGATGGCGTCCGGCTGCCGTGGGATGC